ACCGAAATGGGTAACATTAGTGAGGGTAGTACCGTTTAGCTGGATGGATGGTAGAGGTGTGGCTGAACCAGGGGCAGGCTGAAAGGGAATCTGAGTCTTATGTACATTCACCTAGAGGCCGAAGTGTGCATACGCATCTGCATTGATGTCCAGGATCTCCTGTAGGTCGCGTTCAGTGTGAGCAACAAAGGTAAGGTCGTCTGCAAACTGAAGTTCTGTAATGGAAGCTGCCGACACCATTGTTCTTGCCTGTAGTCGTTATATGTTGAAAAGACCCTTTATCCGGTACCGAATGTCCACCCCGCCGGCTAAATTTTTGCTGGCACGAGTAAGAAGTGCAGCCTAGAAAATGGAAAAGAGAGTTGGTGCCAGTACGCACCCTTGTTTAACCCCCGTTTGAATAGGGAAAAACTCAGATTGGATGCCATTGTGAAGGACACTGCCGTTCAGTCGTGCCACCTGATGGCCTAAAGCCACAATGAGATTCTGGGAGGAAGTTTTTCGCCTCAGGAAGAAGTCTGTTTAGGAGGACTCGGGCGATAATCTTGCATCTTTAAGAGCTTAGAGGATTTCCTCCTTTTTCCATATATTCTCCAGGAGAGATTGGAGACGGCTGTTAAGCAGAGGTTCTCCTGCTTTATACACCTCGGCCGAGATTCCATCAGGCCCTAAGGCTTTGTTATTTTTCATCTGTTTGATGGCAGTAGCTACCTCATCCGGGGATGGAGGGTAGCTGAGATGGGTTAGCTCTGGATGCTGAGGCCCTTGCTGGGTAGTCAGGACATCCACATCGGTGTTTTTGTTGGCAGTGCTGGAGTAGGCCTTCATCATCTTTAATTATGTATTTACCATCGGATGAGCGGAGGGGGGCTGCGCCACGAGTGATTGGTCCATTAAAAGTTTTGGTGAAATTGAAAAATTCACTCATCTTGTGCTGATCTGCAAATTTTTGTGCTTCACATTCTTTATTTTTAAGCCAGTCATTCTTTTGATTGCGAAGTTCTCCCTGGGCCACAGCTTTCTTCTTGCAGAAGGTATCAGCTTTTGTACTAGATTGAAGGTTTTTTTGCCAGTCAGTGAAAGCGGCACGCTTATCATTGATGAGTACATTGATTGCCGGGTCATTTTCATCAAACCCGTCCTGGTGTATTCTTTCGATCTGGCCGAGGGTCTCTCTGCAGTTTTTTGTCATAAAAGTGTTGAGAATATTCCATTTGGCACTGGAATTTGGCTTGCTCGTTGTCGGGTTGTTTAAGAGCCCATGCTCGAGGTGCTCTCTGAAAGGATGTGCTACATCTGGATCCTCCTGACGCCTAGTGTTAAAATATCTTTTAGAGGCTCTCTGCCTTCGCCGTTTTGGGGGACGTGAAGTGAGAGCTTGGCTCTGACGACCTAATGATCAGTGTCGTGGTGGTCTGAGCCACGCATGGCACGGGCGATGAGGACATCTCGGCGATCTCTTTTTCTGTCAATGATGTAGTCAATGAGGTGCCAGTGTTTAGATCGTGGGTGTTTCAACAAACCCTCAAGCTTGTTGGCCTGCCTAAACAAGGATTTGGTGATAGTGAGGTTGTGTATATCACACTTGCTGAGGAGGATTTGGTCGTTGGAATTACTCTTGCCTAGTCCATATCTTCCTATGGTTCTCTGCCAAATGCAATACCTATGCGAACTCTGGCATTGAAGTAACCAAGGAGCACAACCTTATCTTCTCTGGGGAGAGAGGTTAGCACTCCGTCGAGGTCGGAGTAAAAGGCCTCCTTGATATCATCCTCTGCATCCAGCGTTGGAGCATATGCACTGATAAAAAAGGCATGACGTGAGTGATTCAGTGGGACTCGGAGCGTCTTGAGACGCTCGTTGATCTCAATAGGCATTTCAGTTAGCCTGTCTAGAATGCGGTGGCGGATGGCAAAGCCAACTCCATAAAAGCGGTTTCTCTCCATCCCAGGTTTACCCTTTCAGAAGAAGGTATTGCCAGAACCTTGTTCTGTGAGTTGACCCTCGTGTGGGAGCCAGGACTCACTAATGGCTGCTATGTCGATATTATACCTAGCCAGCTATTTTGCCACAAGGGCAGTTCTTTTTTCAGGACGCTCATTTGTGCCAGTATCCAGAAGGGTTCTGACATTCCATGCAGTGACCATAAGAGGCTGAATAATTATTTGCTTTGTTTTTTGTCTGTGATTTTTATTATGTTTTCGACTGCATAAGGATGACCTTACTGGGTGCAGTTGCCCAGTCAGGTTGGTTTTTGAGGCAGGCTATGTGGGGTGAGCGGAGTGGCTCCTTGAAAGAGCTTCTCAGTCGCACAGACATGACAGGATGCCACTGCTGCCTCGATCCCAGTGCATAAACGACCATCTTATCTATTTCACCAATGTGCAGAGTTGTGACTAGAGACTCCCGGCAATCATCGGTGTCTGTCCCTGTCGCCACTCGTCCGTCGCCATAGGACTTTTGGGGATATAGGTGTTTTGATGATGATGAGAGGTATGATGACCTGGATGATGGCTGCGCGTGAGTTGATTTATGTGGTGAGGCAGGAACGCAGGCTGCAACCACACATCTTGGCTCCCCATTTTCCTAATCCAGTGGTGCAAGTGTTGCAACGCCCAAGGAGACGGAGAGTTGCAACGGACTGCCGATAGCCCTGTTTATTGGGTTTCGCTTTAGTAGCCTGTCCATCAGGCATTGCCTTCTTCCGCCGGTGTAGTCGTTGGGTTTCCATGGTGGTCATCTCTTCCGCCTATACCGCCGTTGGGGTCTTGCTGGAGCTCTTTAAGCATTTCTTCCTGATACGGGGCTCCACCGCAGATTTTCTGTTCGGGGTCTACTCCCGTAGCCTTATACCTGCCACTTATACCTGCCAAGGTCAATCTGCAAGTGGGCCTACGTGGTGTCCTTCTGGGGCCCACTGGTACTCCTTCTTTTAAAGGACATCTGAGTAACGTTATGAATTATGTTTGACATTTTTCTTCAGTGTTTACCGCAGTTGCTAAATAAATGAAACTTTATCGTCAGCTGAAAAGTATTCCTCATGTTTATAGACTGTATAGTATGTTGAGAACATCCAGAAGTACCATTATGGATGCTTAACTAGACATCATAATGTATCATAAAATTGTGTGAATTCAGTGATTTTTTACAATTTGTGTACTATAGAGTATATAACTATTGTCTTACTAGTGTACCAATGTGCTATTCAATAGTTAGTTTATATGTACTTATTTAATAAGATAATAATGAGTCAATATTTAGTTTTCATTAAGGATAACTTTAAAAATCTTCCATAAACTAATGTTACTGCCCGGTAAACCTTGTACACTTTCAGCTGAAATAAGTTGTTGGAGTATCATTATTATTTTTGCACACACACACACTTCACCTCCATCACCTCATCACCTCCTTGTCCCTTCCTTGTGTACAGTTGCCGCCAAATGGGTGTTTGTTAGGATTGATGTACGAGATGTAGTTGAATGAATCGGCGTGAAACAGTGAACTTGCCCTGCTTACGCTAATATACAAATAATATAGGAGGCAAACAGATAAACAAACCCTGTAATAAGAATTTTGCAGCAAGTTGTGTAGCCACGACCGAGTGATTAAAGACTGAATCCTGGAGCGTATCGAATATGATTTTTTTTTTCAAGAAGGGAGATAGATTACTATCTTAAATCTACCGTCCAATTAGTTAATCATCAATTGTAGACAAATTCCTGGAATCAATAATTTCAAACTCAATTCAAAATCACCACGAGAAATTCAAATTGATCAATTATTTCCAGCATGGTTTCACAAGTGGGCGTGATGTTGTTTACCGTGACTTTAGCAATGCCTTCGACAGGGTCTCCCACGAAAGGAAAGACTAATACGTATAGTGGAGACCCATGGTATTAGAGATGTTTTAAACTGGATTTGGGTGTGGATACAGGACAGGAAACAGAGAATCAGCGTTACTGGCACTAAATCCGATTAGGGTGATGTCACTAGTGGAGTACCCAAGGCTCAGTACTTGGACCAGTGCTATTTATTATATACATAAACGACATAGACAGCAGCTAAACTAAATTTGCTGACGACACTAAAATAGGGTCTGTAATTAAATGTGACGAGTTGCTATATGATCGAGGTGTATAAATGGAAGTCTGAGTTAAACAAAGATCATATAACAAAGGTTACTTAAATTATCCAACTAGGAACGAACTCGAGCATTAGTTTTAAATTCGTCAAATTTAGATTGAGGGGCGAGATAGGTAAACACTGGGTTTCAAATATAATATGGGATGAGTGAAACAAGTTATAAGACATCATCATTAACTCGAACAGGCTGGGTAGCTTCAAATATAGGTTGGACGAATAAATGAGCGATAGGGGTTGGGTGGAAACGGGACTGCCCAGTTATGGGCCAATAGGCCCGCTGATATTTCCTCCATTCTTATGTTCTTATGTTCCACGGTTCCACGCCCATGACTATGGCGCTATGCTTCTGCATCTTGCATGCACCCTAACACACACCTAGCCCATAGTACGTTCATGTGTAGGTAATTGTAATTTCAAAATTTCACTTTATTCTCTTCCATCCCTCTCAATTTAATCCTTTCTTTTCGCTACTTTCGTCTTCTATTTTTCATGCACCGCACCTTTTTTTATTTTCTTAAAAATTTGTTCGCTATCTTTTCCTCAGTTTATTTTCTCTTTTTGCTAGCTAAAATTAACTTAGCCTGATTTCTCAATTAAGTATACTATTTTCGGCCACATCAGCTACATTTTTTTTTCTCGTGATATCGTACACTCTCATTGCTTCGTTTTATACTTACAAACGATAGTAATTTGCGTGGACCAATCGCAATTTATCTATCTGCTTGGTCATCCAATGACGTATGAGAAGATCGATTTTTAAAGGTGCAGACCAATGGTAAACGTTCAACTTGATTTTAGTCATAAAATAATCAATGAATTAGCTCACGCAGCTTGGCTAGTCAGCAACACACTTGGACCGAGGGAGCATTCTTCAATTGCGCCTCCCGTTGTCAAGATCTATCTGAAACCTGCAGATCAAGCAAAGTATAGCAGACTTGTGAGTGTCCTGTGCCTGTCTTTATTGACATAAATCTAATTTCGTAGCATAATATAGCATTTCGTGTGTCAAGTGTTATTAATATTTGTTGACGTTACTACAGTGAGCAATATATATATATATATATATATATATATATATATATATATATATATATATATATATATATATATATATATATATATATATATATATATATATATATATATATATAACTTGAAGGGAAGCTTTCGTCTTTATTCAAGCAAAAGGTGCTCCGTTGTTTCCTTTTCCCGTGTGATTTTATCAAGATTTATCTTATCCACGTTTTCATTGTGGATCTACATATAAATATATATATATATATATATATATATATATATATATATATATATATATATATATATATATATATATATATATATATATATATATATATATATATATATATAGAACACTTCACATCAATGCATTGGTCGATTAAACCAAAAATGCTTGTCTCAGTGTTACTTCCGTATCAATGGCTATATTTTCACCGAGAGAAACATCCCTCCACTCATAAGTTCAATATGTGTTTCTTTACCTGATTGTCCAGACTAATATTACTACAAGTAGTATCGTGATGACCCTATGAGGATTATAACTATTGTACTCTATCACCGAAGGTTTACATCCTATATCTCTACATCGCATCAGCGTTGTGTACTACATATTTTTTCTAATAACTAAAAGCAGCAAAGTTATGGTCTGTTATAAACTAATTTATAGAAACCTCTTTTACATGTATTAGTACGTATGTTTTTAAGACAGAAATGTGAAGAGAAGAGAAGGAGGAGGTTTCCAACGTACAGTGATGAACAACATCAACAGCCAAAAAAAAAAACGAGAAAAACACTGATAGCTCAGTGGAGTCTACCAAAGGTCCTCTCTTAATCATGACGCGAGAAGCAGATTATCACTCATAATCTTCAAACAGAGAAAAATGAAAAGACTAATCCCGGGCATTAGGAACCTTGAGTACAGAGACAGGTTAAGCATCATAATTTGCACTCCCTCGAGAGACGTAGAGCGAGGGGCGACATGATAGAGGTGTATAAATGAAAGTCAGGGTAAACAAAGGGGACATTGCAAAGGTACTCAAACTATCCAACCAGGAGCGAACTCGTAACAATGGTTTTAAATTAGACAAATTTAGATTTCAGCGTGAAATAGGTAAACACTGGCTTGGAAATAGAGAAGTGGATGAATGGAACAAGTTACCAAATATCATCATTAACTCGAATACGTTGGATAGCTTCAAACATAGGTTGGATGTTTATATGAGCAATAGGGGTTGGGTATAAACGGGACTGCCTAATATGGGTCAATAGGCCCACTGCAGTTTCCTCCATTCTTATGTTCTTATGTTCTTAAAACAGAGTTGCTACAAATTAATTGAAGTCTAAAAAGGAAAATACCTGTATACCTACAATAATTCGACCAACACAACCCGAATTCTAAGTGGAGTGAGGTCACAAAGGAGGGGTTGGGGTTAGAAGTAACCTGTCTCCTGGTCACCTTGTGGAGCTGCGATATTAGGATTATCCATAAACTGAGGAGATATGACCTTTATGGCTCACTGTTTGCATAGAAAGCTGTTAATAATATAATTAATTTTGTACTGGACTTCGGAGATGATAAAGTTTGTGATTCTTTAGATTAATGTTAATTAAATATCGTTTTGCTGCCTTTAATGATTAAAATTTTCTTTCAATATACTTCGTAAGCGTCAAAGCATGACACAAAAATCAATAAAATCGTGATTGACCCTGGTGGAGGTTAGGCCCACACGCTGCTAGGTTATAACATGATAAGCGCTCATATTACATCAATTAATTTACGAAAGTATTAAGTAAACGAAAGATCATGTAAAGCATCACCGTTACCGGACCTTGTAATGAGACAAATTATATGCAACTTTTTTAGAATATTTTGGTCCCAGGCTGCCATGTGCACCTCATGTCGTCGGACTCTAGCCCGAATTCAGAACAGTGATTTCAAACCGCATGAAGGTTTAAACCAAAGATCGAGCGAAGATTGAAGATTGCTGGTATTCAGAACGCTGACTAGAACCAACACAAAGATTCAAACCGGGTTTAAGATCGGAATTGTCGATCCTCTCGTTAATCCAGCCAGGAGGCAGGTTTGGCGGTCTATCCTTCAAGCAAGTCAACATGAATTTTGACAGAGAGCGCGGTTTTCGACAATATCATCAAATTGGAAATTCTATAGAGAGAAGACTGATGGTAGATAGGCGGAATCCTATAATTTTTTTATGATGACACGGAATTTAAACAACGATATAGGTTCAGCAAAGGAGATTTCCTTGATATATTCCGTCATATGGAGCATCTACTTGACAGACCTGTTGGCTATGGTTCACCTCTACCTCCCATTCATCAGCTGATGATTATTTTGAGATTCTTCGCAACGAATAGTTTCCGGGTAAGAAAGATTCTGATTACTGAATGAGTTATGGTAATGTGTTACAACACTTTCGTGTTTAGGGTCCATGAAGATCAAGTCTGTAAATGTAAAGAACACTGACGCTTCTTTATTTTGAGTGTTATTCATTAGGAAAAATATTCTGATGTATTTTCAATATAATTGAATCGATGCTGAATGCATTTTTATTTTTATTTATTTATAAAGGAAGGTGTTTCCTTAACATTATTAATCAGGGAAAGTGTGGGGTTAATAGAACAGAAAGAAACCTAACCTAACCGAACCTAGCCAGGTTACTACGGCCTGCATTGATTCATCTTGCTTTGGTTATGATTATTAACACCCGTCCCGGATTATATAAAAAAAATTATGTATTTGTTCTTCCTCTATGAATTTCTTTGTTATCAAAAAACAACACAGCCACGTTGTAACACAGTACCATAAATCATTATAATTGATCACAATTTGATCAAAACTATAGTAATAAAAGTAACTTCTGATGTGCAAGGAGAGATTTCTTCTCCTCCGCAAAAACTCTTCCAGTCATAGTTGCCGCCATAATCTTGTAAACATTACTCTCGATGGTGATTGGCTGTTGTAATGGTGCAGATGAAACGTGATTGGCTGGAATTTCAGTGTTCGAATCCCTGCCTGTAACTGAAGTAAATACAGCAGATTACCCGATCCGGGGTTCAAGGCGATGTTCAGAATATGGGTAATCCACTGCAGGAAATCTCGGATCAAAGAATCCTGATTTACATGCCTGAGCCGAACTCAAACCCCCTGGCTCAAACTACCTTTCTGAATTCGGGCCTAGGGGTTCACAACTTATAGAGATGGTAGCTTGACAACACTGAGTGAACTATTCGGAAGTGTCCTTAACTGTACAGGTAGTAGAGATAATCAGTTAATATAACTCTACATCGTGAAGATTATAATTATATATACTTTTATTCAGATGGTTAAAGGAATGTGTCAAGTAATTATATTAATCATTTGGGGAAACTTTCCCTTTTATAAACAAATATTAAAAAGAGAAGAAATTTAGGAAAAACACATCGAACTGGAGGTGACTCTGCATATGAAAATATTAGATTATGTTATTATTTTTTGTCACCAAGCAGAATGTCTGTTAAAAAAATCATGCTCAATTTCCACGATTATCGCATTGAAAATGGCCCTGCCTTATTACAGCTATGTTTCACGTTCATACGTGAAGGCGGTTGTCTCTATAAGCAACAATGTCACTAGGATTCACCGTTATCTACAACCTGGCCATCCTACAGGCACTCATCCTACCTGGTAAGTTTGACACCATACTTCATATTCATGATCTGTTCATTGAATGGAAAGTTTAGGGTATACCTGCAAAAAATTCCTATTCCCTAGAACTAACTTAACATACTTATTAATATAAAAATTTAGCGAAAAATAGGAGAATCAAATTTGTCTCATACATTTGTATGGTCTTTCTGGTATTCTTGTTATATTGCCCAAGAATATCTGAAAGTTTCATGTTTATTTGGATATTATCTTGTTCTTTGGACTATAAATGAATCCTACCTGGACAAAGATATACATAATTTCGGTAAGTCTAGAGTCAGGTCGTTGAATCTTCTCATTTTGGTTTCTTCAGGGGTGACCGAGGAGGTGACAGTGGTGAGGTTGCAGAGGATGGACGTGGCATCCAATGATAGTTTTCTGGATAGTGGGAAGAATGCCCTCCCAGACCTGTCTCAGGTAGTGTGAACGTGATAGGATTGTATATATTCACACTAAAATCTTACCCATTCAATTGCGTGTAATTTCATAACTAAAATCGTCAGTTTTGTCTTTTGAAAGATGCTATACTCATATCAATATATGTATTTTACTGTGTTATGATTTATCTATTTACTCATGATCCCCATATATAAGAATATTAATTATTTAACTGCTCAAGAGGCTTATGAATTTAAATGCGGTGTAAAAATATTTGTTTAATCACGTTGTAAATACGTTATTTTTCAAATTTTGTGGAGTAGTTGAAAATGTTATTCTTTACACGGGCTTAACATATTCAGGTGTTGACACGAGAAAACAAAATATTACACATATGGCAGAACCATGAGAAGATTATCATGTATCAATTCTTACCATATCCATAAATTTGTTTTAACACACATTGTTAATACAACTGACACGCAACAGATGTCATTAATATTAAGGTATATCCCTACACATAATCACCGCCAGTCTCATGTGAAAATTGTATATTTCTGTGTACGTGATGTTAATTCAGCGACTTTTTTCAATGCCAATACTGCATCTTGTCTACAATACACTTCATTAACAAAAACTAATGACAACTACTACTGGAAAAGACAACAAAACAATAGATGTAGCTATTGTTAGCTTGCAACATATTTTATTTATTACTTACAGTACATTGAAACTATTTCTCAAAGGAAAAACCCACTCAACCGTATGTTGTTGTTTTAATAATAGTGATAAAAATGCCCGTTATCGTACACTTTGTGTTTAAAACTAGCACAACTCCACCGACCACTTTTTATCACACCCTCAGTGGACTGTGTGTGTGCGGCTTCGACTGTTCCATTTATCCCGACTCAATACCATCTTCAGCTACACCACTGGCGAGCACTACCAGGAGATTATGCTGGGTAAGAATTATTGTACTGTTAGCAACCTCAGGGTTATGCTCGTTCTGATTTTAGACATTAGGTCAGTGTATGATTATTATGGTTAAATTTTTTTTTCTGGTTTGGGGACTGTTTGGTTTGTCGTATTTATGTTTATATTTATTGTACTTTGATAACTGAGTACTACTCCGACCTGATGAATAATACCTAATTTCATTTGATGCCTAATTTATTTTTTAGTAGAGAATTCCTCAAACTGTTGTGGCCAGTTGTAGGCTGAAATAAAAACAAAATTATGGATCCTTTTTAATGTCTGTCTATTGCTCTGTTGTGAGACTATATATTTCCCTCTCAAACTGATGATGATGCTATCAAGGAGTGTCAGTAAAGTACATGGCTGACGAATATGAAAACAATGTTTACTTGAGGGAAGTTGTATGAAAAGCGAGAATAGTTGTGTTGAAGATGAATATTCATGAAACATTTAATTAGTTAATTATTGGGAACCAGAACCTTCCAATTACTTGGAGAAGAAAGGATATTTATTAATAGGACGATAATCCGGTCAATGTAAAGGTAGACAGACTATTCCGGTTCTGATCAGATTATGTTCAAGTTTTGATGTCATAAACTAAAACAAAAAATTTGCTTTGTTTTAATTATGTCTCTGAGCCTCTTCAACGAATGCGCTTATTACAAATTATTCTTTGTCTGAAGGTATTGACTGGCCTCAGTCCAACCTGCGGCTGGAGTGTTGTAAGTACACGGGGTTTATGGAGATGGCGGTACCTCTCCGCCTGTACACTTGGCACCAGATATGTCTGTCTGCGGACATGACCAAGGACGTCCAGTACATGATCTTCGATGACCTGGTGAGTCACCCATTTTCAAAGATATTATCTTTAAATCTGGAGTTCCTCCTTAATTATAGTTGTATATTACTACAGTTATGAAATTATCATTAATTAATAATATATGCTCATTTATAATATTAAAAAAACTGATTTCGCGGGTAATATACAGCAGTTCAAGAAAATATTATATACATAAAAATGTAAAACTGTCTATCTACCTATAGTATACACATGCAAATCATTATAAAAATTAATCACCTCCGAGTGCCGGGTTTCGATCTCGGACCAATACCAATGGTAGTCGAGAGGCTTACCCACTAAACCATGATGGGACAAACATTTATAACCTTAACTACTCTCTGTAGCTCAAGGTTCCATTCCCACCAAAGTGAGCCTTAAGGGCTTACAGGATTGACACAATTGGCCTACACTCAGATCCCAGACAGCTGCGGGCCATGTTTCGGACTATCTATGAAGTACCTGTAAAAATATTCCGTTTAATGAATTGATATGTTGTGCATAGGTGAGAATCGCATTAAAATTCACACTAAACTTAGCCTGACCTAAACCTAAGCTAACCTAACTTTAGCTTTGCACATCATACACAATGTGAAATGGAGTATATTATATATATATATATATATATATATATATATATATATATATATATATATATATATATATATATATATATATATATATATATATATATATATATATATATATATATATATATATATATATGATATATATATATATATATATATATAAACAAAGAAGTATGTTTGTGTGTCCGCACAAGAATCTCGGAAAGTACTTTACCGATCTGTAGATGGATGGTGTTATATGTGATGATGGGTGGTGTTATATGTAGTGATGATGGATGGTGTTATATGTAGTGATGATGGGTGGTGTTATATGTAGTGATGATGGATGATGTTATATGTAGTGATAATGGATGGTGTTATATGAAGTGATGATGGGTGGTGTTATATGTAGTGATGATGGATGGTGTAATATGTAGTGATGATGGGTGGTGTTATATGTAGCGCTGATGGATGGTGTTATATGTTGTGATGATGGGTGGTGTTATATGTGGTGATGATGGATGGTGTTATATGTAGTGATGATGGATTGTGTTATATGTAGTGATGATGGATGGTGTTATATGTAGTGATGATGGGTGGTGTTATATGTAGTGATGATGGATGATGTTATATGTAGTGATGATGGATGGTGTTATATGTAGTGATGATGGGTGGTGTTATATGTAGTGATGAGGGATGGTGTTATATGTAGTGATGATGGATGGTGTTATATGTAGTGATAATGGGTGGTGTTATATGTAGTGATGAAGGATGGTGTTATATGTAGTTATGATGGGTGGTGTTATATGTAGTGATGATGGATGGTGTTATATGTAGTGATGATGGGTGGGGTTATATGTAGTGATGATGGATGGTGTTATATATAGTGATGATGGATGGTGTTATATGTAGTGATCTCAAAAAAACTCCAAACAATCCTATCAGACACAGCCCGACCCCACACACGTAGAAAAGTCGTATTCCCTCCTATCATTTACAGCTATTCTTGATCCTTAGGTTCTCTTTCATTATGGCCCTTTTTTTCTCTGCATTTAACCTCCATCTCTTACACTACACAGAGGTTGAAGAGTCGTATCCCATCCCTTGTATTATAGCTAATTTTATCCTTATGCTCTCTCTCATTACAGCTTACTTTTCGTTGATCTCTAACTTTTCTAGGCTGTCCATTCTAACAAGGTAGGTAGGTATCTATTCTAACTAGGTTTGCCAAACTTACGATATTTCACACTGTGGCCTAGCAAAAGAGCAGCCTGGAGGATGGCGTTTCTGCTATCTCAATATAAAACAATGAAGTCTGTCTGTTTGTTTGTATGTCCGCACGAGAATCTTGGAAACTACTTTACCGATCTGTAGTGATGATGGATGGTGTTATATGTAGTGATGATCTATATCAATATAAAACAAAGAAGTCTGTATGTTTGTCTATGTGTCTGCACGAGAAACTCGGAAACTACTTTACCTATCTGTAGTGATGATGGATGGTGTTATATGTAGTGCTGTTGGATGGCTTTATATGTAGTGATGATGGATGATGTTATATGTAGTGATGACGGATGTTGTTATATCTAGTGATGATAGGTTGTGTTATATGTTGTGATGATGGATCGTTTTATATTTAGTGATCATGGATAATGTTATATATAGAATATGAATAGTATCCCTCTGTTGTCATTGGCAATGTGGATAAGAAATGTGAATACTGCGGTGCAAAGAAGTACAAAGGAGAATCTGCTGGACTCTGCTGCTCTCATGGGAAAGTACGACTGCCAAATTTGGAAAAACCACCACTACCATTGAAAACTCTCATGCTGGGAACAACACCAGAGTCAAAACACTTCTTGGAAAATATACGGAAGTACAATTCATGCTTCCAGATGACATCCTTTGGAGCTACCAGAGTAGTTCGTGAGCACGGATACATGCCTACCTTCAAAGTCCAGGGTCAAGTCTATCACAAAGCAGGATCCGTCTTATCACTGGAAGATGAGCAGGCAAAGTTCCTCCAAATCTACTTCATGGGAGATCATGAAAAGCAGACTACTATCAGGTGTGGCAACATTCAATGTATCAGACATGACATTGTCCTATCTATCCAAGAAATGCTGCATGAGCGCAACACGTATGTACAGTCATTTAAAAATGCACTGGAAAACATGCCTTCCAACGAGTACCTTGGCTTAGAGAAAGAGCCGCCCGGAGGGCAGTGAGTCCGCTAGTTTTGAATAAAGTTTGAAATGATTGCTTCCAGTAATTTGCCTACAATTGATATTAGATTGATTGGACGGTAGTTAGAGGATAGTGATCTATCTCCCTTTTTGAAAATTGGTATTACATTCGCTATCCTCCAGGATTCTGATACTACACCCGTTTTTAAGGACATGTTAAACAACTTTGCTAAGCTCTTCTTTACATCCCTTTAATACTCTGGCAAATATCTCATCAGGACCTGGTGACTTATTAGGCTTTAGTTTGTCTATTTGCTTTCAAACATCGTTACTAGTCACTACTATCTCGCTTAATTTATTTCCTTCACTATCTCTGCCTTGGGTACCATGTTTAAATTTTCGGTGGTGAAAACTGTTGAAAAATATTTATTCAGATTATTGTTATTTCTCCGTCGTTATCAGTTAGCTCGCCGGTGTCTGACTGTATTGGTCCAATCATTTCTCGTGTTTTAGAATCCCTTGGGGTTTGACTTCGCCTTCCTTGCTACCTTCAACTCATTATTCCTCTTTGCTTTTCTTATCTCGGTCTTAACCCTACCGGCCAATACCTTATGATAATCTCAGAGGTAAACTTCACCACAATTTATTCGCCTACCGTACCTATAGCCTTCCCTTGTCCAATATTGTTTTTTTTTAATACTTAGTTATCTATTTAGGGTCATTGTATGGTATGTTCTGCCTTTGTGCATTAAGTAACTCATTATTTAAATTGTTGTGGAACTCGTCAACCTCAGATCTCGTTTTCAGGTCATCCTCAACCGTCAGGTCTCCAGGTAAGGTGTGGTCGCCCTCTGTGGGTACATAGTGTGAGGTTATGTAATTCACCCCCAAGCGTGATACCCCCTTCTCTCAGCTACGTCTTCAAACTATCAAAGTTTGCCCCTCTGAAATCTGGGACTTTAAAGGAATTTTCCTTGCAGCTGCCCTGAAGTTGATATTGGAATCATATTTCTTTGCGATCGCTGTTAGCAACTTCGTTCCCTACCTCGACATAATTAATGAGGTTTTCTCTCTTTGACAGAACTAAATCGAGTATATTATTACCCCAGGTGGGTTCGGTTATATGTTGGCCTAGGAAACAGTGCTGGACTGTTTCAAGAAAATCCTCTGACTCTGAATTATCCGTAAGATCAATCCGTTCTATTTGGCTAAATTTGATGTCGCCTATTATACAGACTTTGGTATGTATGGAAGCCCTGCGCATTTCATCCCAAATAAGTCGCTCATTAACTCTATCAAGATTAGGATGTCTATATATTTCTCCTATGATTAATTTTTCCCTACTATCGATTAATTATATCCAAATTGTTTCTGTATTCCGCTCAGTTTTTATTTCCTTATTTATTTCACACTTAGATTATCCCTGACATAGATTGCTACTCCGCCTTTTTTCTTAATCTGCCTATCGGTATGGAATAATTTGTTACCTGCAATTTGGTATTCGACAGGTAACTCACGTGAGCCTAGGTTTATCCATGTTTCAGTGAATGCTATTATATCGATTTTTTCGGTACATACCATCGCCCCAATTTAATCCATTTTGTTCCTCATGCTTCTACTGTTTGCGTAGTAGACATTTAAGTTAGTCGTGTTCTGAGTCCTCTCTTTTTAGCGTATAGATATTAACTATCTGCCTAATTTAGCTGTGTCATCATTCCTAGCACTATTTCCCGTAACCTTTCACTTTGTTTACCCGCTCCCAATGCAGTCTCTTCCACCCCTGTGATCATATGTTCTCCTAGCTGTTTAAAGACTTCGACATCTTTTGAACTGCCCTCTCGAGAGAGTCAGCCAGGGTTGCCACCCCATCCCTAGACAGATGCACCCCATCCCTAACACAAAGGTCCCTTCTACCGTAAAAGTTGTCCCAGTTGTCAATGCATGGGAATGATATTGACTTGCAATATTTTTCAAGACGGCCGTTGACACCAAATGCCCTTGGCAACTATTCATTGCCAACTCTCCTTCTAGGTAGGACACCACATATGATAGGGATCCCTTCCTTCGACCTAATATGTTCTATAGCTGTCTTGAACTTATCAAGAAGCTCCTCACTCCTACACCAGCCAATATCATTGCATCCTGCACTGATGCAGATAATGGGTTTGTTCCCATTACCAGACAAGATATTGTCCATTCTGTCAACTATATCCCCCACCCCAGCTCCTGGCAAACACACTCTCATCCTATTTTTATTCTTACCACAAAAAGCTCTGTGCAGGTACTGTACCTGGGAATCGCTAACAATTTATGTTTTCTTAACTTTCTTGTCAGCCTTGTTCCTGACTATGCTAACGTCCAATTCATCTATCAAAGGACTGAAAGAGTTGGTACACTTAGCTGTTGTTGTCGTTGTTGTCGTATCCTTGGTGTGTTTTTTCACCTCCAGTTTGGTCGTCCCTCTCCTCACAACCTTCCATTCGCCTGAGTCTTCGTCAGACACGGGCTTTCCTTGTCTCGTTTCTTCCTTCATCCTCGCTACTACTTCCTCTAATTTCAAGGATAGCATCCTAACCAACCACTTGGATAATTTGTACGTAACAGAACCCACAGAACTCACGATAGGATGTTATGGAATTTGATAAAAAAAGAAGGTAAAGTGGGATTGATTTGAGAGAGCTGTTTGATGAGATTTGGGTTCTTTTTCAAAAACTCCTTCATTTTGGAGTTAGATAACTTATTATAATATTCCGGGGGATCTTTTCTAAGCTCACAATAAGTGCTTTCATCACTTAGTAATGAATTCATCTTATCATTATAGTCACTTTTATCCAAAATTACAATAGCATTTGAGTAATTAGCCTTGGTAATATGGATAATCTCATTATTTTTCAAAATTTTCAAGGCTTCTTTCAAACATTTTTGGAATGTTTGAAACCAATTTCTTACGTAAAACACTATGTATACAACCTTTAGCTATGGAAATATCCTCACTTGTAACATCTATCAACTTACTCTTTTCCAGGTTGATTATACCTTTAGCAATAGTAAGTGGATTGACTGTATGTGTGTGTATGTGTGTGTGTGTGTGTGTGTGTGTCGCGAAAAGAGAAAAGTAACGCGATAAATGTAAATATAATAAGTAGAATTAAGTAGAATATACATGAAAATGTTCTTTATTCAAAGTAATATTTTATTAAGTTATTTAAATGCTTACGCACTTAATATCTCAAGCTAGTTGACACAATAAGTGAATTTGAACGACTTTCTCGAGTTACTAATACGTCAGAAACTTTGTTTTCAGCGTGATGTGGAAAACAATCTATATCCTAAACTAAGATTTTATTATTTAACAAAAGTTATTAGAAAACTACATCATAGTAAATTACTTAATATAAAAAAGTTAGCTTTGTTGTTTAGGAGAAAACCATATAACGCCTAAGCCAACCAGTCATCCGAAGCTATGATAGAGTATAACATCACCTGCCTGGTGATCCAGGGATGCACATCTTTCATGACTAACATACAAAATCCTTTTATTAATTGTATTGGTAAAATTTTTAACTGTCTAATCAATACTTATTATTGTCTCCGGTGCTATAATCTGCAAGAACAATTTAGTTGGGTTGTTTGTTTTGGCCATAACATTTCTCGTAGTATAAAACATTCTTGCGGTATAACATATTGATTTAGGGTTACATTGAACACCATTCGCCATACAGTACAAGATTAGTGACACAGATAAATTTATAATACCTGCAGTAATTGTAATTTAAATTCGTAGACCTTTTGTTATTTACTTTTACCAGGGTATTCCATTGAATTAGTGCAGAAACTACTCTCGTTTTATAGTTATAAGGAAAGTGTATTTTATTCTCCAGAGAATTTGATAATGTGGCAGAGGTAAAACTATTTAGACCTATGGCAGAGTAGGGTCTCGTCTTTTTACCATGCGTATATTTTGGGGGTCGCAGTCGTTTTACTAATATGTTTTTTCAGGCATGAATAAATAAATGAGTGTTTTCTTGCTTCTTTGTGGTCATCAGTATATATATATATATATATATATATATATATATATATATATATATATATATATATATATATATATATATATATATATATATATATATATATATATATATATATACTATCGGAATCGCCGCTCTCTGGGCGGCTCTATCGCTAGGCCACGGTAGGACGCCACCCTCCGGGAGGCTCCACATTGTCTCACTGTAGTGCATTAAGGTAGACCACATTTTTGGTTTTGCCATTAGCAGCAAGTATGTACAGATTTTTGCCAGTTCCCACTCTGGAGCATCCAACATAGAACTGTCCACGAGAGAAGCAAGGAAACTCCAGGTTTAGGCCAACTATCTTTAGGGACTGTCCCTGGCTTTTGTAGATGGTCATGGCAAAGCTCACTTTAACCGGGAACTGAAGTCGCTTGAACTCAAATGGCAGGTCAGTGGTGATGAGAGGTATCCTTGATATAAAAACGTCCTCTCCTTTAGGTTTTCCTGTCAGTATTGTAGCTTCCAGTACATGTGGCATCATGTTCTTCACCACCAGTCTTGTGCCATTGCAGAGGATTGGTGGTTCAAGATTTCTTAAGAGCATTATAGGAGTTCCAATCTTGAGAGTTAGGTGGTGAGGAGGCATTCCAGCACGCTCCAAGGAATTAAGGAATTCTGCAGGGTACTGGACTGCTTGGTCCTGGTCGTTTACTGTATCAACAGATTTGAATAAGGTCTCACTGCCTGGAAACTATCTGAGTAGAGTCATGTTGATTTCAGCCACTGTTTCATTCTTTGGAGCCAGAATTGCGCGTTCACGCAGCGATTGTGATCCTTGTAGTGGTGGATAATGTTTGGGTAGACCATGTTAGTGAGCTCAGTTGAGGACTTTACAACATTTTCACATCCTTGAGGAATGATTATTTGTCCTTCTGAATCAACAGGGAAAGTTCCATTCCCAATCTGTAGTAGAAGGTTTGCTAACCGTCCAGCATCCTGATCTCCTTGCAGATGTACTCTCATGTTTGTGGATAGGGTGAGAGTCTGAACACTTCTCCAAAGGTATGATGCCTTGAGGCACGCATTCAGTTCATCAGCTGGAGTGCTTCGAGGAATGACAGGTAGGGTCTGGCGAAAGTCTCCAGCAATGACCATTGTAATGCCACCCATGAGCTGGTCATTTTCTCGTATGTCTTGCAAGGTCCTGTCCAATGCTTCAAACGCTAACTTGTGAGACATAGTGCATTCATCCCAGATTATGAGGCTGCATTTTTCAAAGAGTTTTGCCTTTGCCGATCCATTTTTGATGTTGCACACTGGATTCTCATTGTGAGCGAGATTGAGAAGCAGTTTAAAAGTTGAGTGTGCAGTACGTCCTCCTTCTACTATTGTTGCACCAATGCCTGAGGATGCCACAGCAAGAGCAATTTTCCCCTGATGACGTACTTTGGCCAACAGAAGGTTGATCAGGAATGTTTTTCCTGTCCCGCCAGGTGCAAGATCTGTTCATAAGCATTTGCTTGATGAGGCACCAGGTGAGGCTTATTTTCTTCAAGAAAATTCACCAGAACTTCAACAGAGTAGTCTCTGAGTAACTCCCTTTCTGCAACTACTGTTCAGTCCCCAAAACTTCTTCTTCCATCAATAGTTCATTAACGGTGTATGTAAGTTCCACTACATCGGTACAGCAAAGTATATTTTTTAGCATAAACTGATTTTATTTTATTGTCTAATCATCACAACATATAACACCATCCATCATCACTACATATATCACCACCCATCATCAATACATATAACACCACCCATCATCAGTACATATAACACCATCCATCTTCACTACAAGTAACACCACACATCATCACTACATATAACAACATCCATTATCACTACATATAACATCATTCAACATCACTACATTTAACACCGTCCATCATCACTATATATAACACCGTCCATCATTACTACAGATCTGTAAAGTAGTTTCCGAAATTCTCGTCCGGAGACACAAACAAACAAACACACATACATTGAAAAAGTGGATAAGATAAATCTTGATACAATCACACATGAAAAAGAAAACAATGGAGCACGTTAGCTTTTGCTTTATTCAAGATGTCTTGAATAAAGACAAAAGCTAAGGTGCTCCATTGGTTCCCTTTTCCTATTGTGATTTTATATATATATATATATATATATATATATATATATATATATATATATATATATATATATATATATATATATATATATATTTGTATATATCAGGTTCATATGGCGCTAATTCGTCGTCCTGGCGTCACAAGTGAACAGCTTCACAAAGTGAGGGGCGGCGGCCGCTTTCTGGTGGGACAGAACTATAACCCGGCAGCTGATCTTATGTTCATCGAGGCTATTCACGGTGATCTGGCTGACTTTAGGTTTTATGATGTTGCCTTATCGCTTGAAGACCTGAGAGACTTTGCATCTTGCAACGCAATGAATGATTTACTTTATCCTATTTATGAGTTTGAATTAAACATGACTCACTTAAAACCAAGTGGAGATATCGAGTTGTATCAAATGGGTTTAGAGGATATCTGCACTCAAGAACCTGATTTGGTGATGATAATACCCGAAAGAATTGACTTTGAGACGTCACTAGCAATGTGCAACTTTTTTACTGGAGACATCATTATTCCCACAAATCCTGAGGAAAACGTTGCTATATACGACAAGTATGAAGAATTTAACAACTACTGTGCAGATAGTTGGGGCACCTCATTTTGGCTTGGCGTAGTGGCAAATCATACAAATGGTGGGTGGACAAGAGTGCCAGAAAGAAAGCCCCTAATCTGGGCCGATTTCCTCCCTGGCTGGATGGTGCCCACTGAAGAACATAGCTGCTTGGCCTTTGTGGCCATCAACGTCAAATACAAGTGGGCTGCATCACCCTGCAACATCCTCCAATGCCCAATATGCAACTTCACATCAACTCCTAAACTTCATTTGCGTGGACTTTGCGACCTCTCAAAATTTGATCGCTTCTACTCTCCATATGATTACTACAACTTGAAACCAGTATTAGAAGGCTTCTTCTTGAGCAGAATGACTTGGAATAACCATACTTGGTTGATCAAGAGCCGCCTCGACAGGGCGGTGGAGGCCCGCATGAAATCCAACAAGCCAAATGACTACCCATTCGGCTTACATACATGGGACGTGAAGGGCGACGCGTGTGGTCAGGATCAGGTATGTTAATATTTTACTTGTGGAACATTATACGTTAATCTATCATTAGTATGAGGAATCATGATTTTTTTTTCTTCTTTATAATACCTAATTTTCCTCTTTCATTTTATCTAAAATACCCGCACATAGGAAAAGATAAATAGTGAAGCACATTTCAATAATATATCTGCTAACTCCCGATGAAAGATTTTTTGAATATTTATATAGAGCTAGTTTCATCCTAATAGTCCAAGAGCAAGATCCCCAAAGGGCCTTAGTTTTCGAGTAGGTTGGGTCAACAGGGTAACATCTGTCAGTATAGCTAAAACTAAGCTTTGGGGTGTGGAGATTTTGAAACCATGTGATGCATTGTCTCTAGAACTATGCGACTTGAGGTGATGATTATGGTATCAAACTATATGTTTTGGGATCAAGGACTCTGATAAAGATAAATTCAGATCAATTAGACAAATACTAACTCATTGAAGAGATTGAGGAGAAGATTATGCCACTGCTGGAAGAGTTCAGAGGACATGGGAAAAATATGTCACAAACATTCAAGTTCTGGGAAGACTTTCTTTTCAAGGTTTTACGCCCTGTGCAACTAGACAAGGATCATGGGGTATGCATGAATCAGCTGCAGTACGCCTCTTACCACTTTTAATCAACACTAATCGTTCCAAATACATAGATTTTTTTTTTTAGATTGCCCACGAGGGGGCTAGTTTATTGGGCACCCACTTACACCCTGTGCAAGCTGAAGCGCAGACGCGTTTACAGCGCCCAACAGGGAAGCATGCTAAGTTCCTGCTTGCCTTTATGTCTCACGAGTTTAGGGCGTAGAAGCAAATACATACTAGTATTTCTCTTAACAGCTACAAAGGTTACCACGTCAGATCCTTGAAGCCCTTTGAAGGGATCATTTCTTAAGCAAGCTTTCACAGAGGAAATTTAATTCTGTTTGCGTGGACTACACAATTGAGGCAACACAGAACAAAGCCCTTAAAGGAGTATGTGGAATAAATGGTCTGACTCTTAGAGGACCCACATTAATAAAATGTTTCTTAAGTAAACCAATAACAGAACAGTTCTCAGAACAAACTCGTTAGAATGTAAATGGGTGTGCAGAGAACGATGGGTCCTACCACCTTGGCGCCCAGGCAGCAAAACGTTGGGATGAAGATATCAACAGGATGAGCGAGATGTTTAATGGGTCGTACATTGACACCTTTGATATATCAAATCCGCCTACTGAAGTCGTGAACATTGCTAATGGTGCTGCTGTACCATGTGATATTCAAAAGTTTTACTGATTGCCGTGCAGACGGGTACCATTCTGGTTGAAAAGTTCAAAGATGAATGAATTGTATCTAAAGAAAGGTAGAAAGAAGAGCTCTTGTGACCTCGTTCAGTGTTAAAAAAAGGACTGACGTTAGAAGCTATAAAAGTAAATAATAAAAATTTATCCATTGAGGCTGAAATTATGTACCTGAGATTGTTGGCAGTGAACAGCAATAAAAAGTCCCTCTTCAACGTGTCCTTTCAAATGAAAATTCACCAATGGCCCTGAGTCTCTTTACGGAAGATGGCACTTGATCTCTGGTAAAAAAAATATGATTTTATGCACAAGCTTGAGGAACTCGTTCCAGGTGAGTTCAGCCATGTAAATGTATGTGATGCAGCTATCTTCCACATCAAATAATACCATCACATTTCGAGACATGGCCACACGTTTTCTGATGTACATTTCGCAGACACTTGGACACATGAGACCAACTGAAGAAACTGAGACTTATGTCATATTTGACAAGTATTTGGAATTTAGTGTCAAAAGGCATACCGGGAGGAAAGGTGGTGATGTGCAAAGTGGGATAGCGTACCACATCCAACCGGACGTTGCAATCTCACATAACTGGAAACGTTTTTTTAGCTACAGGTCAAAACAGGCCTAATTTAACAAAATATTACACAAAGTATATGGTGGCATGTTGGCTTAAAAACACGTTTTGTATGTCAGCGGTGGAAATGGTGACAAAGCTGTGATGATCACAAAGCAGGGCAGTGAAGAAATTGAGGCTTTTAAATCAAATCACTAGAATATGTGTAGATGCGAGATTTGCTGCTGAGAATGGAGCGAAGCATACTGTTGTAAGCAGTCCAGACACCGATGTGATGCTTTTACATCACCGTTATGCAATTCATGCCAGTGAAATATTTATCCTTATTGGAAGGGAAGGGAAGGACTAAAAATATGACGAGAAGCTGTCATACCAATGCACGAAGTCAGTGATCCGACATCCTTTGGATATGAGAAGACACTAGATGGAACGTCTGTGGTACCTAAGATGATGAGCCAGCCTCCAGTTGCACCAGAATTGTTGAATAACCTTGTATGTAAATGCTCTCCTAATCTTGTGGTCTACAGTGCAAGTGTCTTACCAATGAACAACCATGCACTGCATCATGTAATTATGAGGCATTGTGTGCGAGTGATCAAGTGGAGAAGATATTTCTGTGTAGATATCTTCTAACACAAGCTGCGTTTTGTGATAGCGACTCAGGCAGTGAATCAGAGGATTTATAAAGCTATGCTTATTTCTATGTATGTCTATAACATAGGAAGGCATACTTTTTGCCGTGCACTAGCTAAATTCTTGATTACATTCATTGATTTGCAGACCTCTACAAACAGATATTTATGAGTGAATGACTGATTATCTTTTGTGTGCCATTTTTCATTTACCATAGAATTACAATGATAAAGATTCTTTCAAACTTTCGCTAATAAGATAAAACACCAAATTTCGATTTAATTTTTTCCAAATTCATTATATTTAACAATATGCTTTTTTTTATGTTTGAAATTCTTTACAAATATGTTTTCTGCCATTATTTTCTTTGCTAACAAAATTTTAAATTACACAAAATGCTTATTTTTTTTTTCTCAGTGCAATATTGCCTGCATTTTTTCTCGCCATTTTTAATAAAAATAAAATAACGCTGCCTAAATGTCCTGGTTTCCTAAAGGGTTCTTGGAATACAGATGTTAAGCATAACTTATAATGAATGGGTAATTTATTATGTCCCATAGTTATAAGCTGCAAAATACTGGCATTGAAAAATCAGCAACATGACTCTGTCATTTCATTATTTTGTTCCATATACATAAGCATGGTTGGTCTAATAATATCTTTATCAGATTCCTTAACTCCGAGAACCGACTTATCACTTTACGTCTCATACTTCCAGAGATGCTGACTTTCGACGGAAAGTCGGCCATTTTGGAAAATGACGCCGTAAGCAACTCCAACGCATTTTTTAAAATGGCATTATATGGTTTTATGATCTCCACACCCGAAAGCTTAGTTTTAGCTATACAGAAAAATGCTACCCTGTTGACTTGGGTACTCTCCCCCCCCCCCCACCTCCCCGTCTTTTTCTGACCTCTGCTCCTGGACGATAAGTAGGTTGACATTAATATGCCACTGCATTATGAAGTGTGACGGTCTGACCCTAAATTTATCGCATACAGGTACAGTTGCTGCTAACATCATGTGGCATTACTGACTTCACATGCAGTGACGGGTCATGCATCAAGAAGATCAAACGCTGTGACCAAGAGGTTGACTGTCCAGATAACACGGACGAACTTAACTGTGATGTCATCAATATACCTGAGGGATATTCAGCACAACTTGCCCCACCGGCGATAGACTCCTCTCAGTTATCTCTACACATAAGTCTCGACATCACCTCAATCAGAGAATTTGACATCTTAGGTTTCGTGGTGGCAGTTGACATCACTCAAAGCATCAAGTGGAGAGACGCGAGGCTTGTCCTGAGGAACCTCCGTCAAGGAAACTTTCCCAACGAAGCAAAAGTTTGAACGCTAAAGTTGCTTTACATCTTGTTTATTCCTTTTTTCTCCTACAATAATCTGTGATATTTAAGGTTATATGATTTTGTACTTAATATATTAAGGGAAGTTTGGTGTGCATTCTAGAGCTTTGATAAACTGTGGCTGCCGGACATTCTGGTGAAAGATGGGACCTACAGCCCTACCGACCTGCAGATGAGACGAGTGAGGCTGTTAGTGCGCCGAGACGCGGATCCTCTACCAGATGATGATTATAACATTTCAGAAGGTCCGGCAAGTGTTTTGTGGATTTCTAAAATATTGGTTTGTTTTATCTTGGTTTGCAGTCATTTCTCGAGAAGTTGAGTTTGATCATTGTAACTGTATTATGAACATCAATTCTTTCTGCATTCATGCGTTTCAAAAAGTGTCATACCAATTTGTAACACAGATAGGATGCTGGTGATACTGACACTGTGGTAAACAAGATAATGATTTAGGAATACCGGATATGAAGAAGCTGGCAGGTAAGGATAATGAAATCATGAAGACAATGTTTAAGAAGAGGTAGAGTATTGGTGGTGGTGAATGAAGGTCAAATTGTCCTAAAAAATTTTATGGTGCAGGACCCCCTCCCGCCACCCCATATACAGTATATATATATATATATATATATATATATATATATATATATATATATATATATATATATATATATAATCAACACCTCACCCCACCAGGATTCGAACTCACGATTTTATAATTGAGACCGGGGAACGCTACCTCTGGGCCACCAGGACACTAAAAGCAGTCCTAGACTCTGTTATATTTCACACAAAGCCTGTTCAACGAGCTTGGGCTAATGAAATATATATGGATCCTCGTGTTTCGAAGCCGGATTTGGTAAAACGTTGCTCTGATCACCTAAGTGGCACGGGTGGTCCCCATTTGAGGTTCACGGCGCCATAAGCTCGTTGAACAGGCTTTGTGTGAAATATAACAGAGTCTAGGACTGCTTTTAGTTTCCTGGTGGCCCAGAGGTAGCGTTCCCCAGTCACAATTATAAGATCGTGGGTTCGAATCCTTGCGGGGTGAGGTGTTGGTTACATGTAGAAATCTGCGTGCTTTATTAAAAAAAAAAAAAAAAAAAAAAAATATATATATATATATATATATATATATATATATATATATATATATATATATATATATATATATATATATATATATATATATATATATATATATATATATATATATATATATATATATATATATATGTGTGTGTGTGTGTGTAAACGTCTTGGTTAAGGACATTCAGGAGACGGGCAAGTCGAAGGGAATGATTGAAACTTGCCTTTTGTCGCTTTCAATATTTATTGATGTGGTCAAAACCTGCAGAGAACAAGGCGTTCATTAATATTACATGGTGATCTATCTGATACATAATTAGTTAGTCTAAGATTGATTTCTTCTTAATTACAATTGATTATTAAGCATAGTGACATGACACATAGTTCATAACTCTATTATCTTAGTTACACTTCATTCCGCATTGTCTTATTTCTCCAGATAAGGCAGAAACGAGTAGGCATAATTAGTCCACAATATTTCAGTACTGAGAGGTATGTCATCACATTGGCTGTACTTACAAGTGCGGGTCAATGCCAACCAGTATGGAGTTCCAAGTGTGGCTGCATAGTCCTCACAGCAGTGGCTGCATGGACCTCACAGCATCAATTGAGAAGGCGATCTGCCTCATGGAGGCCAGGCGGCCACGCCACACTTTAAACCATACACTCAGTAGAATCTGGGCATCTTGTTTGTGCAGGTCGCGTGGTGGGGGGGGCGCACGTGGTCCCAGGCTGATAGATTGAATGTTTGTTCGGGTAAGGCAACGCCAGCACTGTAGTTGAAGCCAGCGGCGATAACACTCCCGGCGTTGGGCAATCGCCCAAGATTTACGGTGTGGCGTGTTCACGAAGGCATACACGGTCACTAGCCTTCGGAACTCCCAAGATACGGTTTGCACACGCACCTGGCGCACCAGATCGTCAGCTCCTGGGACCACTGCCGTGACCCTGCCCAATGGCCATGTGTTGCGAGGAAGATTTTCTCAGTGATGAGGACAAGGTTGCCTTCCAGGAGATTCTGGGTTGGTTCTATGTACCTCTGTCTTTTGCGGCGTAGTGGAAGGTACTCCCTCACCCAGCGTTTCCAGAAGCGGTCTGCTAGGAACTGCACGTGCCACCACCGTCGTTAATATGATTTTACAGATTACAGATTGCCCACGAGGGGGCTAGTTTATTGGGCACCCCTTTACATCCTGTGCAAGGTGAAGCGCAGAAGCGTTTACAATGTCCATCTGGGAAGCATGCGGAGTTCATGCTTACCTTTATGACTCATGCATTAAGGGCGTAAAAGGACTGAAGGGTCATGGGTTTTGTCAGCAAGTTACATAAAGTGACAGAATGATGAGTGTGTGGGGGGAAAATTCCACGTACAATTTATCTGTTTATGGCAAAGTGTGGCAGGTCCCTAATAATGTCAAGTGCCAGGCACGTCACTAGGAGGAGGGATATCTGGTCAGGGAGGGAAGAGGTGTTGGTAACGGCTAGGGACCTGTAGGTGGAGGTCATAGGGCAAATGAGGATGTGGTGAAAGAGGGTGTGAGAGTCGGTTGACCACAAAGTTTACAAACAGTGCGGCCAGGCTCAGGGATGCCAATGTACTAGGTGTGGCGAAGTACAGTGGGGGTGGAGGTGATATGGTGTGGTGGGGCAGGTACAGTAGGGGTGGGGGGAGGCACATTGGCATTGATAACATTGAGGACATACCTTTTAGTGTAATTGTGATGGTGTGTTCGTCGACATGTCGGTGGGGTACAGGTAGCCGGGGGTGGTGTCCTCAGGTCCAGGTAGCCTTGGTGGACACAGCTCAGACACAGGAGCGGGCGCGGCTTGCGGTGGGTGGAGGACAGGTTGAGGCACCAAGTGTCGTGAAGATGGGGCAGGACTTCGTTCGGGGGCAGCAGGACAAACCAGGGCAGGCCCGGTAGGCACTACACCAGTAGTGAAGGCCGCCGGCGGTGGAGTAGGCCGTGATCAGGGGGGGCTCACAGGGGGACTACCAGCTTGTGGCAAACCAGAAGAGAGGAGTGAGTCCTTCAGAAGTCATCCTCCCAGGTACAGGTCAGCATGTGGGCCACCGTGGAGGACGTAGGCTGGTGTAAGCGCTTCTATGTCTCTCACGTCGCTCGAGGCAGGTGTGATGGGTCGACTATTTATGATCGCTTCCACTTCACAAAATAGCCTCTGCAGTCGATATTCATCCAGGACTTGGGTCCCCACAATTGCTCTAAGAACCTTTATGACTTCGGATTTGCCGTTCCCAGACTCCTCCCATGTGTGAAGCCGCTGGAGGGTAGAATACCCATTCTATATCTTTCTTCTGAAAGTGTCTTCTAGTTATCTTATGTCGCTCGAGGCAGGTGTGATGGTTCGACTAATTATTATTGTTTCCACTTCACACTGCAGTCGGTATTCATTCAGGAATTGTGTCCCCAGAACTGTTCTGAGACCTTCTAACTGTTCAAATTTGCCATTCCCAAACTCCAAACGTCGTGCTGCTTCCCTTTCTTCCCCATTTGTGAAATAAGCCTCCAGCATTTCAGTCACAGTTCGTCGCACTTCTGCCATCATGTTGAACCTGGGATTTTGGTCAGGTGCTGAGCATTGAGGCTCAGGCAGAGGGTGGCCCCCTTCAGCATCGGTTGCCGTAAAGTCGTGGTCGTTCAGCTCTGGAGGGACAACCTCTACCTCTGGGTCTCGGTCACCTTCGCCCATGTTCATCCTTTCCTTTCGTTGCTCTAGATCTATTTCCACAACCTCTTGTCCTTTTATTGATGTTAATTTACAACTCCGGTTAGGTCTCAACGTTTGTTCGATGAACCACTGCTCACCGCCTGTATTTGGTGGCGCAGCTCGCTGCTTGTATTTATGTTTGATAATAGTAGGTCACTGCTGGTTGCTTGTGGTGTTACAAGTAGTACTTCACTGCTGGTTGCTTATGGTGTTACAAGTGGCATTTCACTGCCGATTGCTTACGGTGCTACAAGTGGCATTTCACTGTCGATTGCTTAAGGTGTTACAATTAAATTTAATCACGCTTACCGTGTACTTCATTGAGTTGGTTATATGTTACCTTAAAATCGGTGGCAATGAATCAATCTTCCTTTCCTTCGTAACCTCAGTAGCGGGCGGCAGTTCTGCCTGTACGAAAAGGAACACAACCTGTGATCCGCACTCACATGGCAGTGTCCCGACCAGTGCTGCTGTATTGTATGTTTTCCAATTTAAGGGTACAAGTACGCAATACCAGAGGAGGACATGAAATTCAGATATCATTTGATGATTTCCTTATTTTACGTAAGGTTTAGTAACATAATAATTCGTTGCTGATGCAGTAGAAAAGACGATGAGGTTGACAGGTCAACGGATATGGTCATTCTGGCACCATCGTGAAGTGAAAGCAGAAGGATTGTACACTGAATTAGTACTTCTGAGGTTTTCGTCAGGCAACCACTATGTAAGGCTCCTTATATCATCGGCAAGTATCGTCTCACATTTGGTCTAATTGTGTTTGTTATGATGAATTCGTCTATTTACTACCTTTGGATAAGTGTTCCATGAACCAGTTTGTGCCTTTTCATATATAGAAAACGGAAACCTGATCCAAGGTATGACCTTGGATCACGGTTATGTCAAACTGTAACAAATTAACTCCGATTAAATTGTCTATGTATTTAATCTCAAAGTACAATCTTCTTTCAGGATCACTGTTCACTAACATCTTTGGTGTTGCTTTTGAATTAAGAGGATCTGATTGATGTAGTCATCAGTCTGTCTTGGTAATTGGTGTATTTACTGTCGTTATTACACACTCGATAAACATAACTAATATCTTTTATGTGCATTACATGTATGTGCAAGTAAACTTATGTTCAACTAGCGGTTCTCTGCAATACCGCTATATTTGGTGTAATCCTATGCATACCATTTCCAAGAAAATTGGCTATCGAAGGACGTTTTAGCTCTTGACTAGCTTGAGTACCAGGAACTCCGACGAAGGCATATCGTCAGGTTTGCCAATAATACTTAAGTGCCGAGACATCATCGTTGAAACGCCACCGCACCTCAAGACAGCATGCGGGTAAGGAAGAACTCCTCAAAGCTAGCACCTCTGCTCCGGGTGGCACGTTTGCTCATTTTTATATTTTTTTTTTTATTG